AGCCTATCTACCATAAGAATATGAGCGAAATCGAATTTTCGACCCTTGCCGCGAAATTAAGAATTTGTCTGATTTTTACAGGCAGGCACTCTTAAGGCCTTCACTCGGCACATCCCTGTAAGTTAAACAAGTTGACGTCTTCCAAAATTATCTCTTGCGTTTTCAACTATTGCCCTATCACTTAACTGGAGAGCCATGATCGCTATTCTAACTACAAAACTCCCTGTATTAGCCTTTGCTCTGGGGGTTTACATTTCAGGTTTGGTTACATTTGCGAGTTAGGTTGGCGAGGTTTCTCCGTGGTATCTTAAGCTAAGCTACAGTATACGAAATAAGTGATGCGTCAAATATAATGACTGATGCCATTTTCATAAATTGCTATGTATAGTCGTACACAATAATGTCTGTATGTCACTGTACAATGATACAACTTACCAAATCTCTGCAGAAAGCAAGGCCACAAGCTCCATGTAAGCAAATGATTAAGGATGACTAGACTTGACAGCGCATTGCCAGTTTTGGGCTGAGGCCAGCATCTTTGTATCATTAGGGTAAGAAGCTCACCACATTTAGATGCCTGAGGAGACGTAAGTCCATGCTCTGTAATATTTTTAAATACCTCTGCACCTTTATGTCCTGTCTGAGATACACAAAAATCATATTATTATGTCAGTGTGAAATATCTTCCCTTTTATGTACTTAAAAAGACAACTGGGCATCTGAATATTCTACAATACACATAAGTGAGCATATATCAAAAACCTGAAGCATGCTTTCCACTTTCTTGAATGTCACTTTGGACACCAAATCCTGAACGGAATGATGATATGCACTCATGTTGGTTTTGGTAAAAAGTTCAACCAGGTCATTACACTCACGCTGAAAAGTATAAGAGGAAGAGCATTGTTTTGAGGTACAACTTTTAATTTAAATTTGATATGAATAGTATGCTGTCGCGGTCAGTGACAATCCATGGCACCTGAACACACTATTTACTAACTTTACTTTTGCGCATTGGCAGTTTTGTAGGCATTCAACATATTTATGGAAAGAAACCTCTGCATTATTAACATTTCCAAAGAGACTATGTTTTGAGCTTTTGACTTAAATAAGTGACTGATAGACACATGTCAGCAAGAGACCAGAAGCAAAACATCCCCTTAATGATGAGAAAAGTTTCTTAAATATCAATTAATAAAAATACGAAGACAGCAACTGACATGAACAATCTGCCATACGAAAGACATGGACGTGTGTTGCTAAAATAGTCAACAATGACTCTCCTTAATGGGCTACATATAATGCTACTTTGTAAAAATAGACCTATTCCTAAAAATGCTGCAGACAAAAGCGTGCTGCTGCTTTAATACCTGATTCGACTCTTTCCAATTCACTTGGTTAATTTTTTTTTTGGCTTAGTCTCTTTGTAGAGTCAACTAAGGACTTCTTCTTCTTAGTCCTCTTTGCTCCTGATGGAACATAGATCTTCAAACACACACTCGCCTGACCTGACCCTGACCCCTACTTAGGAAGCACTGGAGAGCTACGACTACTTCAAAGAAGTTAGGACAGAAGTCCATAACCTTTTAGCAGGAGGAAGTCATAAGGACATCCAGTAGCCCAAATGTCATCAGACGAAAGTTGGCAAATTGAGAGTCAATTTTCAGAATGACGATGTAAAGACAGTCACATTTGCAGAAGATCATCAGTGATTATTTCTCACATTGAGGACAAATTGGATGCTCTACAGGCATCATGTGAAAGTGGTATTCCTCCGTTGATTTTCAGAGCTAGCATCCTTAACTCAGAATGTTAAGAACATCAAGCCGACGATTTTGCATTTAGTTCAACGCGATACCTTTTGGATTTATTAATGTCCCGGCTACATTTCAAGTGTTGGTGTTTTGGTGTTTCCTTCGCCAAACAATTGGGCCTGAGTCTCAAACAAAAATGCTGACTTAGCTCTGTTTCTAAAAACGAAAAATTACCATTGTAAAGCGATTTTCTTAGAAATCGCCCTAAGATACACAAAAGCAACAACATATCTTTAAAATACATAATGAATGTGGACATAACTATTATTTTCTTCACTGGACTAATCAAAATCACTCCAACCGTGCAACTACTGTCCCTGACAGCTCTCTTATGATTTTGCCAAACACACAGTCCAAATATTGAATAGGTTTGCCACTTTCATTTGATAGAGGTAAAAAGTAGCGGTCGCCACAAGCTTATAACAGTTGTACAAGTTGTTTTCAACCTCTCCACTATGCTATCGGTAGTTGGCAGTTTACAATTCAATTCTCAGCGCAATTTTTGGCGATTAGTGGTTTGTTTGTAGCTTTGAGCCATTAGCAGTTTGTGATAGGTTGCTGTTCCTGTATTCCCATTCTAGGCCTGATACAGGTACATTTCTAGTACATGTCTGGATTTGGACAATCGTTCTTGCCATTTGGGTGCATGCTTGGTCACGAGTGAGTAATTTTAACATTGTATGTGCTAAGCGGCAAAAACACAGACTTAAATTTGTTCCTTCTCCAAGCACCACAGATGGATCCATCGGGTCATTAAGTTATATCCGCTTTTTAGATTTTCACCACACTTCACCACGTGGTTACTGTAGATGTTTTTATTGCTGAACACTTATGTAACACAATCTCAACACTACATATCTTACGCGAATATAATTTTATCTGGATTTATAAGCAACCAGGATGTAAAAAATGTATCAGTTTTCCGTTTGAAGGCTTACGCGTGTGTTTTTACAAATTTAGTGATACATACTTAGTCTGTGGGTTTCACAGACGATAGCATCAAAACCCTACTGTAACATTAGCATAAGCAATGATATTACCTCCTCCAAACGCTGTGTGAAAGTGTCCATAAGTTGGTTTCTCCACATTTCATTGGCCTGGCTGTTTGTCCAACACAAAGTAAACAGTTTAGTCCAGACCTAACGAAAAATTAGTACACGTTAGTAACAGAATGCCAAACGTTTGTACAAAATATAGTCACACCATATGGGCATGTGTTATATTGTACCAACAACAAAACTTGAGTTGCCAATTAGCTGAGAACCATAAGACTGTTTATGTGCCATCACTTTGTGTTCCAATCCCCACGGTCTAAGTAGCCTAAGGTTCCTGATCTTGTAAATGTGAATTGGTTGCTACGTTAGTGGACGCAGTCCATGCAATGTCAGTTGGGCATTTGCTTTGCTTACTTTACTAATAGGCCATTTCCTTTTGCCTCTTTCTCAAAACGAGTCTTCGTGCGAGACCATTCATATGGAAATGTGTTTCCCTCACCTGTTCATTTGCATGCAAATCAAACTTATTTCTATATGAAAGGTTTTGCTCGAGGACTCGTTTTGAAACAGAGGCACAAGGTAACTCGGAAATGGCCTATTACTTAAATGTATGATTAGAGTCAGAAGTATTGTATGCAACTTTTTACCCGGTTTTGTTTGGTTTTCATTAAATCTCACTATCATTTTATCATAAAAATGCTAACATTTAACAGCCTATTGCACAAATAAAGTAAAAAAAAATTGTGATATGAGCAATGAAGCCCCTGTAATTGTTTCAGTTAAATGTGAATTGTCGTTTGTAGTGAATAAAAACGATTACATTTCGGTCTAAGATTGATATGTGACTTCGATGCCCAGGAAGACAAATGAACTAGGTATTCTCTGCTTTGTAATTTGATACTGTAAATAGTAGGCTGCTTTGTTAAACATATGTTTTAGCTTTAATGTTAAGTGAGGGATAGGTCAATGGCAATAATTCTTCACGAAATTGTAAGTTATTTTGGTGCAAACTTTCTTGCAATAGACTCGCATCAAACTGTGAAAAATTTGGCTTGTTATTTTCATGAAATTTAGAACCTGTGAAAGTTATTGGAGAACAGATAAAACAAGTCCATACCGTTAGTTCTTCACGCTTTGCAGAATCAGTGTAGCATGGAACTTGATCGTGCAACACTTGTTTCAACCATTTCTTCACCGTACGAAGGGTTTCCTCTGCAATTCTGCTCAGGTGTCCTGCATCTCGGTTCGCATCACCTTCAACAGCTTCAGTTTTCAGTGTGGCAGTGCACATTTCAATTGCTTCCAGACAGTCGTACAGCAGAATGGAATGACACCTTGTATGGGAAAGCACTGTCTTCAAAATGCTCAAGCAAGAGTTGGCGCAAAGGACGGCTTCATGTTTTAGGGTTTCGTCATCACCCACTACGGAACTAAAAAAATTTGGAATTAAGGCAATATTATAGTCTTTTATTTTGACACATATTGAAAATACTCAATAACGTTTTCTTTGCACTGACAAAAGGAGCACCACGTTGTGCTATTCTTTGTGTATTTATGCGTTAAATGTAATAAAAGGGTACTGTTGGTGGTGGTGGTGTTAATGTTATCGTTTAAGCCTTATTTAATTTGGGTCCAAATATGCCAATAATAATAGTGACACGACAAACTGTTTGTTACGGTGAATTCAACAACTGATGGGCACAGTGCTGCAGAAGTCACCCTTCGCTGTGGTTAACGATTTTGAATACTAGCAGCGTTCCCACAGGCGATNTATAATGGAATAAGCACCGAGTATAATGAGTTAATCACCGAATATAATAACATAAGTACTAAATATAATGACATAACCACCCAATATAATAAAAAAAAGCATCATAAGACAGTTCTGGCGTTCCATATTGTGCTATTCTTTGTGTATTTATGCGTTAAAAGTAATAAAAGGGTACTGTTGGTGGTGGTGGTGTTATTGTTTAAACCTCATTTAATTTGGGTCCATATATGCCAATAACAATAATGACACGACAAACTGTTTGTTATGCTGAATTCAACAACTGATGGGCACAGTGCTGCAGAAGTCACCCTTCGCTGTGGTTAACGATTTTGAATACTAGCAGCGTTCCCACAGGCGATATCGCTTTGGTCACTTTCTGGCAGATGTTTGTCCCAAAATGTTTTCTTCAACAGATATTTTTTAAATTTTTCCTACAATCAGATGATGAGGTACCGAGGTCGGAAAGGTAAAGTGGGATCACCAACTCCATTCTTTACATAGAAAACTACTCTGCTTATCCAAAAATTTCCTATCTACCGAGTACTTTGGCGAGAGAAAAATGCTGGAGAAGAACGCAATTTCTTAACACTGTTTTTATGAATCCAAATATATGCAGTGAAACCTCTATTAAGCGGACCCCCAATTAAGCGGACACCCTCTATCAGGTGGACACTTAGCCTGGTCCCGAAATTAACGTCTTATATTTCCCTTTATAATCATGAACCCCTATTCAGCGGACACCTCTATTAAGCGGACGAGAACACTAAAATATATTGTACTTGGCTAATTTCTATTGTTAAAACCTCTATTAAGCGGACACCAAACTGAATGAACAATGTGGCATTGAATTACGTCCTTGAAATAGTCGAGAAAATGTACTCGTATTATCGTTGCTGTATTGAAAGGGCACTGGTAATGAAAGCTGATTAACTTGAACTCTGGATAGCTTTGTTAACAACCTGGAACTTTATTACAGTACAAAGGAACCGTTGAATGTTAATTGTTAACAAACATTACACAATGTTATAAACCTTTATAAAGCGGACACTCTTAACAGTCCGGAATATCCCGATAAAATTAGGACAGTCATGACGTCATGAAGCTATTGTTAGCAGAGAAAATGGCGGACCTTTTATGCGGACCAAGAAAATATGTTGTTTCCAGTCTCGCATA